CTCCGGCAATTAACGGAACCACTTCTTATTAGATCACTACCGTAAGTGCAAGCGGCAAGCAAATGAGGTTATCAAATTATTCACGGGTATGCAAATTCTACCACTAAATACAAATTTTGAAGACAAAAAAAGCTCGACACCGTCAACCAAAATTTAGTAAACACAGTCTGGATGATTGCTCAAAGGCTCATTTAAAATCGTATATTGTTATACGACGAGGGGATATTTTGTAACCTACCTAGCCATGGAATGTAGAATAATGGGTGATGTAAAACTTGAACACAGAAGCACGATAACATCAAGCTCAAAAATCATCCACGAGCGAATCATGCCGTAGGTACGGTGGGAAATATCCATTATAAAGTAAAATGGTGGTCGAAACAAGTTCGTTGGGGTGGAGAATCCATAACACACGAAACAAAACCTGGTAGACCCAAAAAAATCTGACATGAAAAACTGTATCTGAGTCGCACAAAGGATTCGAATAGAGACACAATTAATTGGTTGACAATGCCAAAAGTTTATTCCGGAAAAAAATAATAAAACAGTATCCCTAAAAGAAAGAAGAGCTTACAAAGCCTGCTTGGACATATTACCCCGAAGGCAAGCGGGCAACAAAATAACTAAATCTTAAATTACTTGCAGTTGTTTTAATAATCCAAATAATCTGGTCGTAGAAGGTTTGTGATATTCAGGCGCACAAAAACTGACACACAAACACGGCTTCAAATGACAAACTTTCAGCTTTTAATAGGAAGAGAACCCTAACAAAAGGCCTGATTGTCTATAACTACTTCCTTTTTCAACTCGACAAACTTTTTCCCTAAACGGACTTCTCACAACTTTGGTGAACTTGCTTCTGCACAGATTTATTATAAAAAAAATGTCTAACTGCGCCTTTAACAAAACAAACACGGCTGACCGCCTGAGATTTAGCGTAAATAAATTTACACGCTCCTTAACAGTCGCCGAACTCGCAGTAGGCTCGTTTTCTCGGTATCTCTAGTATTTAGGAAACACCGCTTCCACCATAAAATAATCTCCTTTGTGAATTTGCAAATAAATCTTCTAAATAATACTCGCAATTCGTAAAATTTGCATCTCGTTGTCAATACCAGCCCACATAGCAGACCTATATACATTGCATATAGGTACCATGTACATTCCACGTGGGATATTGTATATCCATAGAATGTGGAGAAGTATGTCGCAAATGTCCGATGTATGTGCATGGGATATAAGTTTGGCAGACTTCACATAATACATAGTATATACGTTTAGGATGTCTTATGTATATGCATGTATATACAACAGACATGCTATGTATATTGGTATACTGACAACTGGATATACCATGAATATTCCTGTAATATGGAAAAGATGTTCAATAGGATATTCTATGTATGTTGTATACATTCAAAATGAATGTTCTATAGAGATTCCTCTAACATTCGGGAAGTTTACTAGCATCTATACCTACATAAATAAATTCTTTTCATGGAGTGGAGCTTTTTGTTTATTAAGTCTCCTAGTATACAATGGGAAATGCGCATAAGAAATTATTATTGTTTTATTTAACACTGTTAGTCTTGAGTCATTTTGATCGTGTTCTTGTTCAACACTATAATACCCCGAGTTCATAACAAATAGGTTGCTAACATACGTTTGTAACGTCGGTAATACAGAAAACGCATGTATCAAATCCAAAACGTATATACATAACATATAATCCCATGGATATACATAGCACATCCAAAATGTATATTTATAGAATATCCATACTGGACATAAAATACATATGTCTTTAATGAATATACATAGTATATACATAAGATGTACAGTATATTCCCTGTACATTATGGATTTAAAATGTATATACATAAGATATCGAATGCTATGTGGGAGAACACGTGCGGTAATTAAATTTTGCCTGATAATAAAACTCCTCATCGCAGATTAACTTAAATTAAAACAAAAATTACTCATTTACAAAATTTCTAAAAGGAAAAAACAACACTGAGTTACAAATTCAACTAAAATTACCAACTTTGTGTTTACTCCTTAATAATCCATCAGATTTACTTAATAAATCAATAAATATTCTCATATACAGGATGTCCCGTCATTATTTTGAAGTTTTTTTCACTGCTGTTTTTACAACATTTGAACGAATTTGAAACATTCTTTTTACTTTTATGGAACATGCATGGAAACTTTTCCAGAGCGGTCTTGTTAATTTTGAAACATATACCAAAGTTTCTATGAGCACCTTTGAAACGTTATACAAAGATGCATTCCATTTTTCGAGATGGCTGAGACATTCACTTTCTTTCAAACTATTTCCGAAATTAATTCCTTAATTATGATTGCATTTATTTGTACTGCAACTAAGGATTTTCTAGGGTAATGTATTCATCACACCGGAATCTCTAGATATGTACGACGTTTGTAAATAATCTGGACTAGACCCATGTCATTTAAGTCTTGATACAAAAACCTTCGCTAGCTCAGAAAATCTAAGCCTGTCCATAAGAGCCCATGTTATAATACCCTATTTTTACTGTCAAATATCTCTTTAACCGTTGGAAAGTGCGTCTCTGAGAATAAGTGAACAAATTTTCATCAACTTCTTGTTACTTTGACCTAGGCTTTAAGGTACGGTTTCGCTGGTGCCGTCGGCCGCCGTAGACGGTCGCCAAGGAAACCAGGTCTATAATAATAACGAGGTGCAGTGGTCCGCCTTTGACACTTAACAGCGACCGTCATGTATTTACGGTTGAAAATAAATCAACCGACCACTACACCACGACGTTCTTTTTTTGCATATGCCGCTTATTATTGGTTTTGCTCGAAATGACAGCTCACAATGCATTTAAAAAGCACCCACGACAATCATTTCACTTTCGCGATACCTGTATCACGTACCTACTATTACGTGCCTGTCAAATATTCTGTATAGGCACCTCGATTATACGAATTCGTCTTGCAGCTTTCAGGTAAAAAATTACTACGCGCTCTAAAAATGCCGCGCTCGATTTACATAGATTACATTCGCTTTAAAATCCTTCTCTCCCACCCAATTTTTACTTATGCACTCGCCTAAAAAGAACTGCAGCGGGATACGAGAAGGAAAGTAACAGATACAGAGAAGAATCGAACCGTATTAGGTACTTCCTCCTCGGAATAGTGAAATCGAAACATACAAGCGAAATCACACTGATAAGTGATAATAAACTTCCTCGTAAATACATAAATAAATACTTAATAAACAATATAAAGGCATTTTCACCTGTACAGTATAACAAACATGAACAAAACCTTGAAATATGCCACGCTTCGGGATTAGTCTTTTATACAAAATGTAAACAATAACAAATTGTGAGGACGAGTCAAAGAGCATGTGTGCCATTTTTCATGGTTTTACTCAAGAGTCCCAACTTTTTTCTTGATCTCCCAGACTACTACCTGTAAATGCACTTTCAAACGCACAACAAACAAAATAAACGCTAGACGCGCCACTACTCAAAACCAGCTCCGGATAGGATGCTTACCGCTTTTCACGCGCGAAATATGGGGACCAATTGACGCCACAAATACAACCTATTGCTCCAATTGATAAATGTCAATACCACGCAGAATTTAAAATACTCTTAATTTTTGAAACAAGTGAAACTGTCACCCCGTTATACGACTTCAAAAGACCAAAACTACCATTACTACCACTCGGCGCGCCCAAACTTAGCCCAAACTCAAAAATTACTGGGTTCGTAAGCACACGTGAATTTTTTTTTAACATTTACAGTACCCTTAAACCTGAAATTAAACCACACAGTTCCCCCAAAGATGCTGAAAGTTTCCGCTTAGTCAACTACCTACGCCGGCTAGTATTACGACGAAATTTGGCCAACTGCAAAAACGGACACCGATGAAACGTGAACGCCTCAAAACTATGCAACGATTACTTTAATTCTAGGACGTAATTCGAAATTGAAGACGCTAAAGAAAAACGAAGTAACTAACGATGATTTCTTAATCTTCCAATTTCATGCTACGATTATGTTAGCATTTGACCGCTCCACCTTTTATTACAATGCGTTTAACTTTCATATTTCGTAAGACGCGTACAATTCACGAACTTATCACTTGCTTTCGAAACTAACAAATTCAATTTTAATCACACTGTACAATTTTATACAATAGTTTTTAACAAAGCACCTGCAGATTTCATTCAATTTCAACGATTAAATTAAAAAAAAACATTTTTCGCGTCCATCTGGCCTACATTGAAGGACGAAACCATTTGCAATACTCATTCCTTTGTTAATTATTGAAAATTGCCTTTTATGGTATAGTTTACTACAAAATGTATGTTAAAGATGGTTGTTCATAGTGATGTTTGAATGAAAGATTAATATAAAATTTACGCTCATACTATAGATTTAAATTATAGTGAAGGATTTGCGATTAAAATTCTAAGCAGCGGAAAATCCATTTTATGAAACTGCGAACAATATTTTCCAGTTGCGTGTACCGAACATAATATTAGTTTTTGTGGCACTTCATTTACGTGAAGAGGGTGGATTATGCAATTTTAATTTCCGGCAAGTACCCATTTTAAAGTAGGATTCGTGCTCGGAAATCATAGTTCCCTTTATATTCTTATTTGTTACGTTGCAGAAACTTAATTTTAGAACTTACGTGTAAGAGTAGAGACTACAAAGGAAACTACTTACTTAGCGATTCTTTATTTGCAAATAGACATAATGGAAGTCATAAACGAAACAAACCATGGTAATACACTGAATAGAATTTCCTTTTATGTTCCGAGAAAAAAACTCAATATATGTGTATTACATCATATGCGACTTTCTCAAAGGAAAACTAGCACAGAAGTCGCAAAGCAAAAATCGTTTCGTGCCATATTAGGATCTGGCATCAAATATAAGTTTATAAAATTGATTAGTAAAGTCATGAATACTTAAAGAGATAAATGACTTAAGACTGCAGGTTGGGTATTTCCCCACGGAGCGAAACTTCAGATACGGTGTCGCGAGCTGGGGCTGTATAAACCCGTGGGGATGGCCACTCCACGCTGCCAGAACGGAGGCTGGTCCCACAAACTACCATCCTGCGTGCCCACGACGCTTCTCACAAACTTCACAGGTAAGAGGCTTTTTTTATTTTCTCTACCACTTTGATTTGCTTTCGAATGGAAAGTCTTTTCTTTCGCATCGCCAAGTACAATTTTTCGTCGAAAATCTCGCTTTATTATCGAGATTATTCTGCCCCCTTAAATTTATTACGCTACTACGCAAAATAAATATTTACCCGCGTACACGGATAATTGAATCGCCGATACGGAAACCTTGTGAATTTATTTTTTATGGAAATTTTGTTTCGACGAGATCTCTGTTCCTATACAAATAACGTTTCCATTAGCACGGTTTGAGTTGGCACACGCGTTTCCTTTCGAAATCGAAATGTAATTCATCCGGAGTGTTTTAGCACGATGTACAGTAATAAGCTTTTTCGATGTGGATTATCTTAAGTACTATATCTCTTTTCAAACTGAAAGCACTCCAACACTTAGGGCTGTTGAAGTTAAACATGGTGCAGTTGCATACTGCGCCGTGTTTAACTTCGACACAAAACCCAAAATCACAAAAATTCTTTAAAACTTGCAACCCTGTTATATTTCAGGTGTACTGCCATGTTTATTAGTTTCAGACATGATGTTTTAATTGCTTGAACTTTCCCTTGTGGGTTAATTGCCACCAATCTTACATTTGGCGAGATCTACCTTAATTTATGGGAATCAGAGATAAGGGATGAACTACACTCCGCGAAAATAGTGGAGTTACCTACTTATATTCGTCCGAGTAGAATAGTTTCGTGTACTTTTTAATTAGTAATTTGACGAACTGATCATGTGGCAATGCAGTAATGGTGTAACGGGCTAGTTAATTTACAAGGGTTGAAGACCCTACTTGCATAAAATAAAATTAAATCTCTACGGCACTCGCAGATATCCCAATACAATACAATCAATAACAGAAGTGTTTTTATACCCCCTACCTTGCGGAAGTTTAGTTTCTTATCTCCTTCTAAGACTTGAAGTTCAAAGTCTAACGTTCTAGCTCGAAGGAACTAAATATTACTTTAGTTGATAAATTATATTAATAAGCACAAAAGCTATCGATAAGTTGGCTGGAATAATCCCAACATACTAACCAAAAAACCCTAAACCTAAACTAAAACAAAACCAATAGTCACTTCTTCTTCTTCATTTTTTCTTAGTTTCCAAGTTAACCCTTGTTCTATGGATACCTATTACCTATCTTCTTGAGCTTTGATTACCTTTTCCCATTTTTCTTCAGCTCTGTAACGATTTATTTTTTTTTCTGTTCTTCGTAAACTGCATCGAAGTACACGTCGATTAAAAAAACAGCTGAAAGCGTAAAGTAGAACGCATGGAATTCTAATTGCCATCTCCCGATTATATTGACCTCAAGTGATTGAATTTTGAATTTGGGAATTCCGAAGTGATTATTTCGACGGGATTCACCTATGCTCCTAGTGGAGGTTATACATATGCGTTTTTACCCTTTTGTTGTAAATACCGCCATGTTGTATTTCGTTTATTTATCGTGTACTTTATTTATATATTTCGGCTGTAGTTGTACGGTAATTTCCTAAGACAATTGTTCCTTCATCTAGGATTAGCCTCTTATATAAGAGGTATGTAAATTTTATGTCATCAAAGAAAGGGGGTTACCTTTGATTTCTTTTAGGGTTCAAGTTCCAGACATGTTTTACATTACATACCAATTTTTGTTCGACGTACGAATTTGTAACCTTCCGGGTCACTGGGTCACAATGAAAATATTAATAGTGAGTGCTGTTAGTTATCCTTGTGATTGCTACACCGAGTGCATATGTTTTCGGTTTTGGACTTACGGCCACAGGTAAAAGACTTTAGTTTATTGAATATTCTTTACATGTTCCTGTATACAAAATGTTCTTTTGACTGATGCCAAGAAATATAGCCTTGACTATTCCTGATCACGTATCCATGCTCATTTGATTCATATTGTAAAATTTGTTCTTTAGCACATAATTTACTAGTCCATTCTCCTATTTAAATATGCACATGTACCTAAAATACGAAATGACAACTCAATCCAACCAAAAGAATGGTAGTATACAAAATCACTGAATCAAAATCAATTATCAATGAATCCGTTCATGTATATATTTCTGATAGGTCGATTTCTCTAAGAATATCAAAGTTACTGTAGGCAAAATTTCTATATGCAAAATTCCTAAAAATAACCGACCGTTTTGTATAAAAACAGTCACGTATTCATCGCAGGTAGTCGCCCACTGTAAAACTGGTCGCCTATGAGGTGTACACAAATTATATTTTCATCTCTATCTAGCCCATGCAAAGAAACAGATACAAGTTTTACAGTGGTACTTACTGTACACCACAGCTCTATATTATGCTTTTTCAGAAGCGTCACAGAATGCACACAATTCGACAAGTGAGTCAGTTCCTTGAAACCATCTTAGGATTTGGATGTCTTCTGAAATTTAGATGCCTATCTACTAGTAGTTTAAAGGGGACGCCGGTCGCAGAAATTTCGTTGGTTCCGTTTTGGGCGTAATATAAATAGCGCGAAGCGCAAAGAACAAAACGGATAGCGACTGTGAGAGCTTAAAGTTACTCCGCGCGATTTTAATGGCTGCAAAAGAAGAATTAGTTTAAAAAATAAATACTTAACGATCGAGTTTGAGTTTAAAGTTCGTTTGGAACGTACCGAAATCGTATAATCACAAAGGAATACAGATTTGTTTTGAGGGGAAATACGAAAGGCTGTGGTCCGCGAATTTCGCATGTTAAGGTATACTCTAAGTATTTCGAAGTGCATTAATCTAAAACTATCTACACCAAATTTCTACGACGGAAAAATCTGTATATATCCGACTTGATGCCTATAGATAAGACAACCAGGAGTAAAACACGTAAAATTTCCTTTGTAAACCCGGTTAGTTTAGTCAGTCATTTCTATAGTAGATTTGTAATTACATTAGTTCTTTAGTTCGCCGCTAGAGGTCGATGCATTTCTTCTCTTCAAAGACGGTTCGGCTTTCATGTTGGTTCCGTGCAAATTTTTCTCCATACGCCATTACTTTTTATTTGACTTACTGTCTACCTGTTTTGGCTATCACCATATTTCTTTGGAGTGCTTTCTCTCTATTTCTGATGTTCTGTGCTCCATTGAATTCGCTTTGCGCATATGTTTGCAAGTTATTAGTGTGAGGTATGTACCGGTATGATTCAGCATTTTTCTTAATTCGTATTTTTTTAGGGCTTTATCTTATCTCAAAGTTATCTCTCTTACCTACGCGATGGTTGGTTGTCGGATAACGCAAATAGAAGATGTGGGCAGCTATGATTGCATTTTGAAAATACTCAAAATATATGGCCAACATATTAAATGCTTCTTGGTTAGAAATCGGCATTTTAGAAAAGATTACAAATTCAAAAAACTGCACTTTCTGAATGTAAAAACAGCAGAATAATTTACAAATTACGGCTGTTATTATTTTATAATGCATAAACGTGTAGGGTTCTTTTCCAACCATCGACAAATACCGGAAATAGGTCAAATAAGATACAATTTAAGCATTTTAATTAATTAATTAATCTCATTTTCCCAATATTTAAGGTTAGGAACGAGATTTTGAAAGGTTTTCACTGGCCTCTTTCGGTGTTATTTGGCTACTTTAAAGATAAAGTCATATCACTCCATTTCACTTTCATTTCACTTCATGACCGATTTACCAATAATTTTTTTTACCCCTAAGTTATATGACGAACGGTTCTCGAGATATGGCCGAGGAACAGTCTTATTGGGTCACCCGGTACGTATAAATTATTTTGTTCATAAAGTATAATTACAATCCAGAATTATAATGTGACTCGATATTGCTGATTGTGTATTTTTTTAAAAACCAGTCATAAATTCGGTCAATTTCACACAATATTTTAGTATTTTTTTTGTTTTTCTTGGAATCGTAATCTTTGAGCACAAAACAGCACTAGCGTAGCACTAACGATCGTATTAGTTTTTTTTAAAAACGAGTGGAGCCAATTTTCCAAAATATTTTAGTTTTTTTGGTTTTTCTTTGAAAGATAAAACGTTAGACTCGCAATATTCGAGCACAAAAAAGCACTGACGTAGCATTGACGATCATATTTTTTTTAAACGAGTGACGGGTGGGGCCAACTTCACACAATAGTTTGTTTTTTTCGTTTTTCTTAGAAAGACGAAATGCTGGAATCGCAATTTTTGAGCACAAAACAGCACTAACCTAGCAAGCACTAACAATCACATGTGGTTTCATCTAATTAAAAATGTATGGGCGGGGCTAACTTCACACTTGACTTTTTTAGGAACAGAGATAGAATTTAAGATACTGTTTTTCTGGCATTTAATAGCACTAACATAGCACTAACGCCGTGTGCGTTATTTAGGTATTTCCATAAATAAAAGTTGAGTGTAAAGTTTGGCCCCGCTCCGGTTTTTTTTTCTCATATTATATAGCAGCACTAACGATAAGCTTCGAGCACTAAAGAGCACTAGCTGTCGACACATTTCTGTCAAATTATTTCATGTGGGCGGAGCCAACTTCACATCGGTGACCTTTCTTGTATCCTTAGGAACATGTGTACCAATTTTCAAAGGATCGGACGTTTCTAAACAGTACGGGTGGATGGGGCCGGCGGGATACCAGGAACTTTCCCGGCGGGCCGGTAGGATCCATGAGCGCTTTGCGGCTGGCAGCATCACTCAAATGAAAACACAAAACAGAGATAGAGCCAGGCTACGCCGCCACTTGCAAGGAATTAATTTAATTAATATTCGAAGGTGGCGGCGCAAATAAAAAATTATTATTATATTAAAGTCCTCGTGCCTATCAATAAGATCTTGTTGAAGGCTACCACATTCTCTTTGTTGATACCGACCCCCGACGTCCCGTTCACCCGTAATTCGAATTTTGGTGGATTTTGCTAAAAACCCTCCACAAATTAGTACTCAATTTTAGGGGCACTTCTCATAGCTCCAGCTTCTATTAGCGACACGAGAAAGAGAGAC